TTATAATAAAATTCTGTTCTTGTATTATAGTGCAATATTTGAATTATATTTAAATTACCAGTTAACTTTTAGCTAGAGGATATTGTGCAAGAAGATACAGTTCAAAGAAAAGTACTTCAAGTTATATTTGTTAAACATAATGCACAATCTGGGATAAAGTACTAAATGTGGTGATTGCCTAGTAATCAAGTTATTGCTTAATTATTCCAATTAATTGAAGCAATCCTTATAATAATTTTGCTAAAAATTTATTATATGAAATGCGAATTCTAATAGACTAGTATCTGCATCCTAAGTCTTTTAACTTAAAATAGCAGGAATAATTAATTTGTCTCGATTAATCAGATTATTTAGTAAGCTTATTCAAGAGGAGTGCATGAGAATAGTCTAAAATAAATTATAACAATAATTCAATTCATTGCTAGCAAAACAGTTGAAGTTGGACTTTGGATTTTAATATTGAGATTTGAATATTTGCAGTTTGTTTAGTAATATTAAATTTCTAAAACTTACTACCTATTTATTTAACTCTATTAAGGTTTATAATTTTTTTTTTTATAATGATTGTGCAAGATATCCTTTATTAAAATATAAATTTTATACATACATGAAGATTTTAATTTCAAAAAAGACTAAAATAATGAAATGAAATATTTATTAGATAAACTTAAAGGCTTCACTATAAATGAAAGAATGAAACCTAGTTTTGATTTTCACCAAAAAAATGATGATGAAACTTGTAAAAAATAGTAAACTGGCAAAGAGTAATAAAACTGATGAAAAGAAACAAAATAATAAAAATGTAATCTAATAAAGGTAATAAAGAGGTAAAGATAGGGATCATTATATTTGCTAAATAAATTAACTCGAATAACAAAACTATCAATACAAATAAGAAATAAAAAAATAAATAATTATTCAAATATAAAAAACATACCCTAAATACCTCAATCGAAGGCTTCATTTCAAATCCTATATCCTCATGCTGTTGATTGTTAAATAATTCAATTACCATGATACAAAAAGCTATTGCTCTTGCTAGTGCTTTTCCTTCTTCAATAGCAATCCGATTGTTAAGTTCTAAAAAAGTTAATATATTGTTTTTACCAAGAGCCTTTGCAAATGCTTTTATATCTTCTGAACAAAGCTTATTACTGTTAATAGCTAAAGTGCTTTTGTTACTTCTTTTTCTTCTTCGATACTAAATTGATTTTTTCTAATACACAAGCTAATTAGTATTATTACAAAGTGCATCTGATAATTTACTTTCAAATGCTTTGTATTCAAATAAACCATATGTTATTAGGGTTTCTGATATACAGTCGCTTTTCATTAATATCAACCCTGTTAATATCAACCTAAGCTATAAAATAAATTTCAAATATTAAAATTATATTAAAATTTCCTTATATATATTAACTTTAATATATTCTCTTATTAATATCACTATCAATATGAATATAAAAGTGATCCAAATAGATTGATATAAATGAGGAACAACTGTACTAATTAATTAAAACTATGTCAGATATTGTAGTAAAGTTCAATAGTGCAGGTTTGTGTATAAATTAGCAAAATCAGTAAATTTATTAACGAAGACTAGTATTCTAAAAATTAATACAACTCGTGTACCAAGTATTTTTCTCCAGCAATTATATACCAAATGATTAGTTTAATATGTTGGAAAAAAGTTACAGTTTAAGACTTTAAAAGAAAATTCTAAACTGTAATTTTTTTTAGCATATTAAACTAATCATTTGGTAAGATGAATTAATTTTTAAAATAGTCTTCGTTGTCGATTTTGCTGATATTAAACTCAATATAGTCTAGATTAATTAGTATCTTAGACACCCCAACATGTTATGTCTAACTGCCACAATATACAAAATACTTTACGTTCACCAACATAGCCTCTTCCAAAGTCTTAAAAGATTTGCTTTTACCAAGAGTTTCTCTTTTTACTGAGAGTTTCACCTTTTATTAGAGGTTTTGCTTTTTACTAGAATCTTCATCTTTCATCAGAGTTTCACTCTTTCACTAAAAGGTTTCGTCCATCTTTTATCATTCGCTATTTACATAGTAGGAGTTTGCCCAACAAATATAAACCTAATCAAGTCAATATAAGCTTGCACAAACTGTAATATTAAACTTAGTTTG